GCCCCCGCCTTCTCCGCCCCCTCCCCCTCCTCCACCTCCCCCAGCCTTCACTCAAACACTGCACCTCCTATAACCTGAGCAGCCCGTACGGGTCGTCATGGCAGCAGCAGGTCCTGTTTGTGACCCTGGAATATTTAATTGTTGAAGTACTTCTGGGTCATGAGACCAGGTGATGTCCTTCAGTCTCTGGGCCCCGGCAGGGCGCTGAGTCAGAGAACAGAGACTCCTGGGTTCGATTCCCAGAGGAACCGCACGCTTGGCGCCAGCAACTGTCAACACAAGAATTTCCCAAGTACGAGATCAAGTTCTATTTTTTTAAGCTTCGTTTGTTTTTGTTTTAATCATCTCATCTAATCTGTTTTGTAATCAAACATTTCCTTTTTTTTCTCACCTGCAAATCAACTGCATTAACAATCATTGTTAATCATCATTGCCCCCCCCCCAAACCCCCCTCTACTATACTATACACACAGGGAGACAAATTTAACAGAATGTTTTTAAACGTTTTAAAAAAAGAATTCTGAAGTTTTTACATCAAAGTTCAGGAAAATGAAAAACCTGTCTGTGGTTCGAGGCCCGTGAGTTCACACAGATGAGTTCACAAACACAGGTGCGGACCCCCGACCCGTCCGGGTCACTGCTGCTGCTGCTGCTGCTGCTGCCGCCGCCTGCGATTCTCCTTCGCTCTGATCAAAGTATCACACACACACAGTACTCCTCACTAACTCCTTTTGTCCTGTGATCCATATCTGAGCTGACAGATCACGAACGAGACCCCCTCCCCTCACCCCCTCACCCCCTCACCCCCCACCATGACCCCGTCCTGAAACACACAGACTCACACATCAGCACTTCTGCTGCTCCACTCTGTCCTACATATGGTACCAGTCCTGAGGTACTGCTGTGTGTACTCCTCCGTCGGTACTGCAGTACTGCTGCCGTTTACTGAACACGTCCATCTTTTCCGGTGAAGTCTGTGAAGTTCACTTCCGCCTCGGTTTGAACCCGTGTAACGACGTCACTGATGACGCCTCGCTTCATTACCGTATAGTCGTGTATTGATGGCCGTGTATCTGCGGCTCCATCTCTCACTCAGACCCGCTCTAATCCTCTTCTCTTCACGAGGGGAGGGAGTGTGTGTGTGTGTGTGTGTGTGTGTGTGTGTGGGGGGGGTAATAAGGGTTTTAAAAAAAGGCTCTAAAACGGTACAGACAGAACCAGGACTACTGGTCCGTAACAGAACCCAACAACAACTGGGAGTGTCTTTATCTGATTTAGCACAGAAGACTCGTTAGAGGAGGGGGAGCTGGGGGGGGGGGGCCCCCAGGCCGTACAAACCACAATACTCTGACGACCCTAAATCAGTAAAAACAGAAATCCGCAGGTTTGATCTTTGAAACGTCACTGTTGTTTCCCGGCTCTGCCGCAGGAGCATTTTCTATGTACTTTGACTTTTCAAAATAAATATATTTTTTTAAATATCTAACGGAGCAGTTTAAAGAACAGACAAGTGACATTAAATGATTCAATTATTAAATTTAAATTTTATATTATTATTCTTTTATATATATACAGTATAAAAGAAGGGTTTGATCTTGACTGATCCTGTGAGTTGACCGTGATCAGCCGTCGTTAATATAGATGTTTATAATTCAATTATCAAGAGGAAAAATTAATAAAACTATTTGATTTTTTTTTTTTTTTTGGTGAAGACTCTCTGCTGACCTTTGGTGGCTCTGACCCCCCCGTGAGAACAAAGCACCAACCATCTGAACTGTCGTTTAGTAGAAGTAGTTCGCACTTCCTGTGGCCTCGGCCCTGCGAATAATTTTCTTTCTTTCTTTTTTTTTTTTTTTTTTAAACTCTCCCGCTGCCGTGGTTCGTCATTCGGACTGACACCTCGGCTCGAACTCAGTGGATCAGCCGCCCAGCAGTGAAGGCCTCAGACGCCGGGCAGAAAAGTAAAGTTTGAAGGGAGGAAAAAAAGAAAAGTGCCGCGGTTCCTCTGAGCCAAAGTGTCAGTCCGACTGTCCGCTGCCAAAGAGCAGACTGCGACTGTTCCCGTGTCTGCGCCACAATCGGAGCTCCAGTCAAACTGCAGCGGCCCCTGCAACAGTGTCTGTCCCGCGGCCAATCTGCCCCAGTGTGGCTCATAATTGGTTGGGGATTTGGGTGAAGAAAAAAAAGGGAGGCTGCAGGAGAGAAAGCCTCTCTTTTTGGAGGAGGAGGGAAATGGTTCTCCTCCGCAGAAGAAAAGCTCTTTTCAGCGGGCCACAATGGGAGACCGGGACGGGGAGGAGTCCCATCGTGATTAGCCCATTTAATGGCGCGTTTACTTAATTTCTACATTCAGTGGCGACGGTAAACAAAGGGAAATAGCACTCGGGTTTTTAAGAGCTGCATGACGGTGAGGTTTGGACAAATGTGTGGCTGAAAACGGAAAATAAATGTTCTGATCCGAGAAGAGAATGTGCAACATCTTCCTTTTTGACTTTCCATTTGGAAAATAACATTTGTTTTTTTTTTGGTATTTAATTCAGAAATAAAAAAATAATAATTTCCTTCTTTTCTCCTCTCTTCTCTGGTGAATCTACGACAGAAGTAAATGTGTTGGTTAGCTTTAAATAAAATGAAAAAAAAATCAGACGTTTGTCTGGATTTTAAAAAACCTAATGGTTTCAGAGAAAACAAAACAAAAATATGATAATTTAAATGAAATAATAATAATAAAAATAATAGCAATAACAGCAGTTATTATTATTACTATTATTGTTATTATTATTATAGTAAATTAAATGTACTCAAAGTAGTACTTTTACGAATTAATCTTCTCCTGGTCCATAAATATTCAGGAAATGTGGTTCAAATATTTCCTTGTATTTTATACATTTAGTGAAAGTTTATCAGGTAGAAAAAAAAATATTAGAAATATTTATATTTGTCTTTTTTAGTTTGTTTTCCCCGCCGCTACTAATACGCTTCAGAATAGTCTGACGTCATAAACACACTACTGGACCTTTAGTTGTGCACAAACACAAACAGCCGTATTTGTGCACAGCTCACCAGGAGTGTATGTTGGCGCGTATTTACTTATTACGTTGAGTGGATTAAAAACAATATAAATAAATATTCGAGCTCAGATGCTGCACATTTTCTTAGCCACTCTTTTATTCTCTTTGAACAAGTGAACCGACAACAATTCAAAAAAAATATTCTGAAATTCACTTCATGCACATGCGACCCGACAACAATGTCCTCGGTGACCTTTCAACCCCCTCACCGTGACCCCGTGTGTTTCCACAGCAAACCCACAAACACTCGTGTTGTACCTGCGCTCTTTCACTCGTTTTAGTTCCACGCACACAGTCCGAACTGTGAACGAGTCACGATCCGTTTCACCAGCGACCTCGGTGCCGGACCGTACCGGACCGGACAGACACACGACATGGACACAGACTGGAAACAAGAATGAATTCTGTATTTGATTCAGAAATGCTACATGAACAAAAACAACCAACGCTGTTCAAACAAGGGGAGCGTTGGGAGAAAGTGAGTGGAGGGGCCGAGGGGTGAGGAGGGGGACGGGGGGAGGACAGACGATATTAATAAATTAGAGAAAGGTCCAACTTCATTCTGTAAAAACATCAGCGCCACTGCGACACTAAAGACGGCCGTAAATCACTTCAGTGTCGGTTTGGACAAATCTTTTATGAAGGAACATCAAGAAAAGTGAGGAGAGAGAAAAGAAGGAGAGAAGGAGAAGGAGGAGGAGGAGGAGAGGAGAGCAATAATTATATACAAGCAAATCTTTCTACAGCTATATTACACAGTGGAGAGCGATCGCGTTTTTCTGGAGATATACATAATTCAATATAAAAATTTGAAAATAAAAAATAAAAATCTGATACAGTCAGAAACCATTCCGACATTTTTTTTCTTTCTTTTCCTTTTTTTTTCTTTGACCATGTAGCCCCAGTGTGACAGGAGTGGACTCAAAAAAGGTGCTTTATATTTATATTTATATATATTTATATATGTCACTGAAAAATGATTGTCTGATGAACACAAAAGAAAAGAAAAGAAAAAAAAACAAAAAAACAAAAAACAAATAAAATTCCCATCTTCTTCGTCACCTTCATCACGTGTTATTCCTTCTGTCGGATGTTGATGTCGATGGAGGAACACAAATAATAATAAAAAATAAAAAATAAAAAAAGAACTCACGCAAAGTCTGTAGCAGTGGTGATGACGTGGGTCTCGGAGAGGAGGGGTCCGTTCAAAGCGCTTTCGAATAATAATAACAATAATAATAATAATAATAATAATAATAATTAAAATGTCGTGCTTTTATCTCTTTTTTATTGGAATATTTGTGTCAGTCGGTCCCGCTGTCATCAGTCCCGTTAGTGTCCTTCGTTCGGGTCCATGTTCCCTGTAAATAATTCTCTCTTTTTTCTTCTTCTTCTTCTTCTGAAACCAGTGTTTGTTTCTTCTCTTCCTATCATACGTCACACTCCGAGTCGCTGGATGTGACCGACAGGATGGACGTGCCCGTGTCCACTCTCTCTGTCATACTGGACACGCTGGTGGTGGGACTGGCCGCCGTGGACGGAGACTCCGCCGAGCTGTGAGGAGTGAGGCCGGCCTCTGACAGCGACCTCATGCCGGCTGCGCCCTTTTATTCTCTTTGAACAAGTGAACCGACAACAATTCAAAAAAAATATTCTGAAATTCACTTCATGCACATGCGACCCGACAACAATGTCCTCGGTGACCTTTCAACCCCCTCACCGTGACCCCGTGTGTTTCCACAGCAAACCCACAAACACTCGTGTTGTACCTGCGCTCTTTCACTCGTTTTAGTTCCACGCACACAGTCCGAACTGTGAACGAGTCACGATCCGTTTCACCAGCGACCTCGGTGCCGGACCGTACCGGACCGGACAGACACACGACATGGACACAGACTGGAAACAAGAATGAATTCTGTATTTGATTCAGAAATGCTACATGAACAAAAACAACCAACGCTGTTCAAACAAGGGGAGCGTTGGGAGAAAGTGAGTGGAGGGGCCGAGGGGTGAGGAGGGGGACGGGGGGAGGACAGACGATATTAATAAATTAGAGAAAGGTCCAACTTCATTCTGTAAAAACATCAGCGCCACTGCGACACTAAAGACGGCCGTAAATCACTTCAGTGTCGGTTTGGACAAATCTTTTATGAAGGAACATCAAGAAAAGTGAGGAGAGAGAAAAGAAGGAGAGAAGGAGGAGGAGGAGAGGAGGAGGAGAGCAATAATTATATACAAGCAAATCTTTCTACAGCTATATTACACAGTGGAGAGCGATCGCGTTTTTCTGGAGATATACATAATTCAATATAAAAATTTGAAAATAAAAAATAAAAATCTGATACAGTCAGAAACCATTCCGACATTTTTTTTCTTTCTTTTCCTTTTTTTTTCTTTGACCATGTAGCCCCAGTGTGACAGGAGTGGACTCAAAAAAGGTGCTTTATATTTATATTTATATATATTTATATATGTCACTGAAAAATGATTGTCTGATGAACACAAAAGAAAAGAAAAGAAAAAAAAACAAAAAAACAAAAAACAAATAAGGTTTGCATCTTCTTCGTCACCTTCATCACGTGTTATTCCTTCTGTCGGATGTTGATGTCGATGGAGGAACACAAATAATAATAAAAAATAAAAAATAAAAAAAGAACTCACGCAAAGTCTGTAGCAGTGGTGATGACGTGGGTCTCGGAGAGGAGGGGTCCGTTCAAAGCGCTTTCGAATAATAATAACAATAATAATAATAATAATAATAATAATAATAATTAAAATGTCGTGCTTTTATCTCTTTTTTATTGGAATATTTGTGTCAGTCGGTCCCGCTGTCATCAGTCCCGTTAGTGTCCTTCGTTCGGGTCCATGTTCCCTGTAAATAATTCTCTCTTTTTTCTTCTTCTTCTTCTTCTGAAACCAGTGTTTGTTTCTTCTCTTCCTATCATACGTCACACTCCGAGTCGCTGGATGTGACCGACAGGATGGACGTGCCCGTGTCCACTCTCTCTGTCATACTGGACACGCTGGTGGTGGGACTGGCCGCCGTGGACGGAGACTCCGCCGAGCTGTGAGGAGTGAGGCCGGCCTCTGACAGCGACCTCATGCCGGCTGCGCCTATTGCTTGGTGCT